TTGATCGGTAAACTGCCCCTTACCGTGTTTATTTACGGTTAGGGGCACAGTGATATGGCTGTGTCAAAAAACAGTGGCGTTTGTGCATCTTGTCAATTTCTCTGCAGAATTAGTCCGCTGAAATTCTAAATAATCTCCCTGATCCTACTTTCTACCTTTCCCGTCCTCTTGCTGATGTTCATCCAAATGGGCAGCCAAAAGACAGCAACCAAAACCCGCGCACGATAGTGCATGGTTAATGGTTGTACAAACTGAAAACTGATCAGGACGCTGTCCCTTGTTGTGCATGGCCTGTTCATTTTCATCCGTGTTTGTTTCGCTGATCGGGATCCGCCGACCTTCAGTGTTACGCATCAACTCGAAAAACATTTAACTATTCTCTAAGGGAACGGCCAGTTACCACAAACGAACAGCACGTCTTTAAGATAACAGGCTTTATTTACATTACTATTAATTGCACTGCTTTGATATAAAAAAAATATGTAGAAATGTATACATGTGCATACTTCAGATAGTAATTAGTTGAAAGCAGCCGGCAACTTACAAAACTCATTTTAAGTATCATCGGCTCTTAATCGAACCGAACGGAATGACAAGGGTTTGGTAAAATATTGTGAAATTGTAAGATTGATTCCATGTATCCCATTCGAGCAACGGGACTCCACATATACAAACCAATTTGGACAAACATTGGCCCGACTACTCATCAACTTTTTACTCTCTATTGCCAGCACCATGCACCAAAAGCGGATACTCAAAAAGTGCACATTACGTGTACCAGACAGTGTTGAGTGGAGAAGAAGCGGTAGACTTGATCTCCGAAATTATTCAATCACTATATGACAACAGCTAACCGACTAAACCAGAGTCATATTGCTAAGAAATGACTGACCGAATTCTTATCGCATTTTTTCATGGCCTGCGGCTCCACAGTAAATTTGGTTACTTCGACTGTCCTTCAAATATTCCCTTGTGGAAGGTAAACTGGTTTCATGAAGATGATTAAGTTTAGTAAAAGTGCATTACAAGATACATCCCCAATATTAGTCAGTCTTTCTTTTCAGGTCGCACACCAAAATTTGCATTATGCAGTGCGGACAACAAAACAGCACTTTGTTGGTTCACGGTTTCCGGTAGCATACTGGGAACCTGTTNTGTTCATAATCAGCGAGATCCATGTACCTTTGTTGGACAGCTTTCTCTTGAAGCCATTGAATTAGGACCTCGCCAGCCCAATCACGACCAACTGTCTCCATATACCATGTGCCGTTTAATTTTGGTGATCCTCAACGTGATTGAGTCCACCTCTCGAGCAGTTTGCTGGTGTATAGCAGCTGATGCATTTCCCAGCTCTTTGAAGCCACCGGTAAGATCAGGGTAAACGACGAAGACTAAGGACGTGTAATATGTCCCTAGGGACACGACAGCCTAGCAGCTTTGAGATAGTACTTCTAAGAGTTTCGATTCTGTCAATGATGCAGTTTCAGTTCCAGTTTCTACAATAATGATGCAGTATCAATTATTAATAGGGTTAGTGAGGCCGAAGTTGTGGTAGAAATGATTAGCCCTGGTCCCTTACTGCTCAAATCAAATTATACATTGGGCATAGCCTTTACCGGTCCATCTGTCAACGTCTGAATGTGAAGTACAGGGAAAATTTGCAGGGATCACAGAAAGCCGGACAAAAGAAAACGGAACACGAAGTTGCGGGATTTCTCGGTGCCTTCTTTTAACTTGAAAGTACTGTATAAAAGTGAACTTACCTTTAGAAACGCTATGCTTGGCGATTCGAAACAGCTTTAACGCTGACGAAAAATCATCGACCACATAGAGAAAATCATACAGTGCTTTGTACGATGCGAATGAAACGCTCTGAGAGTTTTATGTAGGTCAAAAGAGAACCAAATCAAAAATACCTTTCCAATCAAATCTGGATTGTCTTTCAGTTTCTGGAGACCTTTTTTCTTAGCAGTCGAGTCAAGTCGAACAAAGCGCAACATTGACAGGCCCAAGTCAAACGGAGTGATCTCGGAATAGCCGGTTGAAAAATGATCAAACTCGACACGCAAAAGTTCCGTTTGAAGATTGTCGATAAACCTATTGTGGTAAGATGAAAGTTAATAGTTGAACAAAACTGCAAACGATACTTTGAAAATTCTCGAAATTTTAACTTTTTGTCGCCTTTTTTACCGAAAAGATGTCTGAGCAAGGTGGTATGTGTAACCCATTCAACCTTGAAGAAAAAACCTCGGAGTGAACCGATTTACTAGCATACCTGCTTCTCTGGTTGTATTTCACCCGTACATAGCTGACAAAATATCCGTGTAATCTAGATATGAATGGGAACTGATTTAATCAAGCAACATGTTACCTTTTGAAATTCTGCAATGTCCACTTCATCATTCATATCTCGATCAAACATACGAAAAGCAAGCAGTAGTCCAGTTCGAGGATCTTCCGGTATTAGGAAAGCGAATCACACAAGAGGAACTCACGTGACATCACAGAAACCAGAAACATATATTCAGTGAACGAAATAGCCCCATCCATGCCTAAATCTTGCAAAAACGTCGTACTGGAATGGGAAAGTGGCGGTGTGCATTGCACAAGTTTATCAAAAGCATGTTTGTCCAGAATGCGCCGGGCTCCATAGGCTGTGGTAACACGGCAAATAAGTACTATTGGTAAGGGAACTCACGAGCTGAACAGAACATAACCACACAACGAATGAAATCCACGGGTGTCATGTAGGCGACGCCATCATACTCCAGGGAAGCAAAAGACAGAAATCTTTGCATTTGCGCAGACTAGAGAATAGTGAGAAACCTGTAACTGTGTGCATACTTTGCTTTCGTATTGGACAGGCTTCGAACTATCAAGCAACAAAGCGGGGGCAAGAAAAGCGTTGTTTTCTGCGTACACTTTCCTAGCAACGAGAACGGAGTAGGCAAAAACGCCCAGAGATGATGCACCAGCGAGGGCAACTATGTGCAGGGATTTCGAAGGTTTCACCAAAAAGCACCGAGCGCGTGTTGCAAATCGAAAAATATTTTGTGCAAAACGCATTTCGCCGACTTGAAAGGCGATCAGCAGGTTATGTTGAAAACTAAACACGAAGTCACTGCAAAGACTGTAAAGTGGAAAAAAGATAACAGATATCAATAATAAATACAGCACAAATTTCAAGCTTCAAAGCGATGATCTCTATGTACCACTCTAAAAGCTTAAGTTTGAACTGAGAGTAATCACACCTTACCTGAGGAAAAATAGAGTTCAAAGAACAAGGTTAAGAAAAACTATGGTTTTTATTTGTTTCACTATGCCTTTTTAAGGGTTTTTGTTGTAGTTTTATTGTTTTCACCATGTACAGGATTTCAGCAGGCAAACAATACAGTATTGGCTTGTGCTATGCGTTACACCTCAGCCTCCAAATGCCTCAGTATGGTCGGGAGTGGATGCCTCGGGCTCCGAAATGGCCATTCGTCCCGAACTTCTCTAGAAATGATTCCAAACGACCAAGCGCCTCAAATAACTTCTGCTGAGGAAGTCCTACCCACTGCCTTCCCGTGGCGGAAGTTTTACCACTAAAGTGGGAGGACAAAGGCGAATGCCTGCCGCGGGTTGACGGACCACTGGTAGTCAGTCTAGGGGAGTTGACTAAACCCTGATTCCCAACCACCCACACCTGGCGTAAGAAGCTCATAGTAGCACCAATCTTCGGCGCAATCGAAATGGTCTCCAAAGTTAACCCTTGAAGTTGACCACTGTGATGCTCACTGGCAAGTGCGCGGCTCAAGGGCAATCTGGGTACCCTGGATAGTTAGCCACATCCGAAGGGTGTATGANACCCCCCCCCCCCCCCCCAACGCCCACAAGCTAACCATGGAACTATGAAAATACACATTCACGCATGTTACAGAATCTTACACTTCTGCAAAGCTTTCTCTTGGAAGGTATTTCAGTCCTGCTTACGTTTCTCGAGCCTTGGAAATGCGGGAGGTCATCTCCTTTGATGCGCTACCGTCGCTGGTCACGCAGCCACCTAAGTACGAGAAGCAGCCAACTTCAGCTAATTCCTGACCGTCTGGTTTCAGAACAGAACTCGGTGACACCCAGTCTTGTAGCATTACTTTGCACTTTGAAAGTGCAAAGCACATGCCAAATGGAGCGACAAAACTGGCTAATCTGTCAAGTGTTTTTTGTGCATCCTCGATACGTTTGAACGGACAAACGATGTCATAAGCGTACTCCAACTCTCACAGCTCTTCTCCAGCTGCCCATTCAATGCCTAAATTTTGGAGACCACTTGGTGTGTTCTCCAGTATTTCGTCTATTGCGAACTTGAACAGGAAAGGTGGAAGAGGGTAACCCTTGATGAACACCGTTGCTAGTCACGAGCAACCTACTCAGCTCGCCGTAGACCCTTACGCTACCAGAAGTATGAGAGTAGAGTGAACTCAATGTGTTCACCTACTTCTGCAGCATTCCATTGCGAGGGAACGAATCCATAAGGGATTCACGATCAACTGAGTCGAAGGCTCCTTTTAGGTCAAGGAACACGACAACCGTTCGTCGACGGTATGTATGGCGTAGCTCGAGGACTCGACGCAGGGTGAAGATTTGACCGATACAACCGCGGCCTGGTCGAAATCCTGCTTGTTGTTAGCGAGTATTGGTCTCCCTAGACGGTGTCAGACGTTGAAGTATGATGGAGGCTAGTAACTTGGTGACGACTGGGATCAAACTTATGCCACGGTGGTTTGCGCAGTCGTTGCGAGATCCTTTCTTAAAAATTGGAAAAACCAGTGATTCGCTCCAGGATGATGGAATGCGCTCACGTGACCAGATATTACCCATTAAATCAGTAATGGAGTCAATCAACATTAGTGAATATCAATGAACAGCAGGTCCTCGTGACTGTAGGATTTGCCCCATCTGCTGTTCATCACACGGTGTGTAATTTAAAAAAACGAGGTCATCGCCCCCCCCCCCTCATCTTGAAAACAGTGGGAGGAAACCCGCTCGATCCTGTTGCTTTTCCTTTCTTCAGGGCTTGGATGCAGGACCGAACTTTTGCTTCAGTAGGAGGTTCACATGAAGCCTCAGCTAAAGCAGACGAGACAGTCTGGTTAGCACCTGGTTAGCTGAACTGTTCGTTGAAGTACTCCGCTCACCGATCAAGCC